TTAATTAAGTCTTTGTTCTGCTATTCCAGTTATGCACATGAAGTATCACTTGGGATTGTTCCACTGTTGTTTGACAAACGTTCAGTGTTCGTTTTTCTTTCTCATTTTGGTTTGGAAGTTTCTGTAGAACTAACTTGAAGCTCATCGATTCATTCCTAGTCTATGTCTCATCCATGAATGAGTACATAAGGCATTCTACATTTCTCTTACAGAACTTTTGCTATCTGGCATTCTATTTTTATTATTCCTGAGAGTTGTCATTATTCTGTTTCCAACATAATGCTTAGTGTATGGCTGGTAGACAGTACTTCTAGTCATTTAATCTATGATTCAGACCTTGTCTCCGTCAAGCGGTGTCTGTGTGATCTTCTTTGGTAACCTGTGTTTATGAGTTACGTGGGAATAATAATGGCCATCTCCTGCGATTGCTGTGAGGGTTAGTGAAAAGATGTAGCTCTGCATCTGGTACGTGTGTGTGCAAAAAGTACTTGACTTTTCTTACTATATCAGAAATGGACGCGAGCAGCATTCTAGAGTCCAGACTTTTGTTTCTTGCAGAACTTAGTATTAAGTGTTTGACCACAAACTGGAAGAGAATCAAGAATGTTATTTTTGTGTATGTATATACTCCTTATTCTTCCCCACAAAATAATGGGATAAATTAAAAGCAATCTGATATACAAGAGACAGGAAACAATCCTTCTGTTATATTTGGCTCTGCTTAGACTCTTATTACAGTATCATGTCCAATTTTACAGTGCTCATATTAAAGAGGATGTCAAAAAACTATATGTGGTGTGTCCTGGGAAGAATCAACAACTATGATTAAAGGCACAGAAAATAGGCCCTTTGAGGAAAGTTTAAGGAACTGAATTTGTTTACTCTGGAAAGCAGACAGTAGAGGAGTTACTTAACTCTCTTCAAGTGTATGAAGGGTTATTAGGAGGAGGATACTCTCAGGTTGTTCACCCAATACGCACAGGACCCAAAGAGGAAATCGACATTTTAGTTAAAGAAAATTGTGTTAACCACTTAAATTAACTATCGGGGGATGGCATGGAGTATCCATTTTTGAAAATATTAAAAAGAAAAGCAGCAGATGGTTATTTATTGAAAAATTTAAATGCTTGACCTCATGAAAGTGAGAAGCAGGATTGTAGACTTTGCAGGCTTTTCTACTTTTGTGATAGAATTTTCTTACATTTACTGCAATTTATGAAACAGTTTAAAATTTTGATATAATTATGTCTGACCTTGCATTACAGCTTAATTGCTGGTATGTCTTGAATGATTCATTGTCATTTATTTGCTAGGAAGTAATTTAAGTTGAAGTCAATTTGTATATAAAAAACTCTACATTCATATTTTTATACTCCACCTGACATTATCTGAAACATCATTACGAGTGTTTATTATTACTGTGTTTTTCAAGTAATACATCGTAAAAATTTTGTAACTTTCATGACAGGGAATCCTCTTGGTATATGATATCACAAATTATCAAAGCTTTGAGAATTTAGAAGACTGGTATACTGTGGTGAAGAAAGTGAGTGAAGAGTCAGAAACTCAGCCCCTGGTTGCACTGGTGGGCAATAAAAGTGAGTACTGTTTATTTATGGAAAGTCTATTTGCTGCTGTAGATGGAATATTTGTGTCCCCCCAGCAATTTGTATGTTGAAGCTCGAAACTCCAGGATGATGGAAATTGGAGAAGGCACTTTAGGGAGGTAAGTAGGTCTTTCTTGGATGAGATTAATGCTTTTATCAGAAATGATGCCTTATGAGAGAGACAATCTGTTTCTCTACCATTGGCGGGTACAACAGGAAGGTGGCCATCTGTAAGTCGGCAGGAGAGTGCTCATCAGAATCTAGCGGCACCTTGATCTTGGACTTCTTAGTCTCTGGAATTGTGAGAAATAATGTTGTTTCATTCGTCAGTCTGTGGTATTTTGTTATGGTGGCTGGAACAGAGAATTTCCTAAGACATTTTCCTTTTCTGTATTTTTTATTCTTGAGAAAAACACTTGATATTTGGAAACATATTTTTTTTTGAGCTGTTTCCAAATTGGGTCGAGCAAATTGAATATAAAGTTCTGATGGGTATATACAGTCTTTTCAATAACTTTTTTCATAAATGATATCTATTCTTTGAATTTCATAAATGATATCAGTTCTTTTATTATGTATATTACATTCTGTGAAACATCTTTCAGAAGTGCCTTAAACTTGTTAGAGTACAGAAAATGCCTAACTTTACTAGATCTGTACTGTTCCATAAGTGTTTTGATGCTTCTCTGTCGTAACTGCTTTGCTGCTTTTGACCAATTCATGTGAAGGTAAGCTCCGTGCTGGCAGTGTATGCCTTGGCTTCCTGCGGTCTAAGGAAGAAGCGTGGCCTGTTAGCAGCGGCACAGCTGTAGATTTTATGATGTTGTAGTGCAGCGTCAGCTCTGTCTCAGAGGCTTCAGACACATTTCGTCAAGTGCTCTGCAGTCTAGAGAATGAACCAGGGTCTTTGTGGGATTTCATAGGCATTGTTTCTTGCTCCCATCTCTTATATACTCCTTTTTCTGAATTTTTGTGGTTTGTCTTAAAATACAGATGATTTTGTAAGAATGTATGGAGGAGTAGTCCTTGGTAAAAAAACGTGGATAAGTAATTCTTGAGATCTGTTTTTGATTTATGATATAGAGCACATAGAAATCATAAAGTTCTACTCAGTATTGGGCTGCTGTCTGGTTCATAATCTTGCAATGCAGTAATTTCCGAAAGGAGACATTAATAAAAGCTTGCAAATAATGACACTGTATGATATGACCTAATAGTCCCCAGCTCATTTTGGGTCAGCAAAGAAAAAATGAGTTCAAATTATACCATGGAGGATTTAGGGCAGGAATTGTTTCCTGACTACAAGAGTTGTTAAATCAATACCCACGGATACTACCAAGAGAATTATCTTTTCCGAAGTTCTTTAAAAATTCAGTATTTTTCCCCCTGTAATTCTTTAGGAAATGATATGTCCTGAAGGGCCAAACCAAGATTCAGGCATTATGTGGTTTTGTACACAGAGGTGAATATTTACTAAATCTAAGCTTTAATTTAAAACCGTTGCAAAACAGGTATCAATGTCATTTCTCTGAAGAGCTAGAAACACTGATAGTACTCTCAAGAAAACTTACGAATCACAAAATGGCATGGCTTGTGAAGAAATGGTAGTTTTTATTTTTAAAGGTTTAATTAGATTTTACTTAACTGTTTTATGAGCAATTTAAAAAATCAGATGCTTTTCAATATATTGAAACCTCCCTTTACAAATCATAAGTTTTGATGAGCTTACGTTCTATTTCTGGGTACAGCTTTTCATTTAAGTAGATTATTTCTTAGTGATTTGTCCTGTTACAAAAGCATTGGCTCATAGTGTTGTTAGATTTATCACTGTTAGATGTTTCCCATTACCTTATGGTAAATTATTGAGGCAGGTGGGCAATGGGCATTTGTTTTCATTCTTTTCAGAATATAATATGATCATCTCCTGAGATAACGGTGTAGTGGTACGTAACTACACCCTTTATGCTGTGTGTCTGTGTTGTCCTGTGGGGCATCCACCGGTGGACATTGTCCAAGCAGCGTCAGACTGGAGGAGCTCCTGGACTGGACTCTCATGCATTCCCCAGCTTTTCAAAATAAATATTTGAATTTTTGCAGAAAATTAGCACAATGTTATGTTTGACATTTAATAGTGTGAAAGTTAAGGATTTTTCACTTCGGCTTAGTTACAACTCCTTTCTTACATGTACTTGTGGTATTCTCTTTAGAATGAGGTCATATAGCAGAGTATAGTCGTGTAGAATGTTATATATGTACAATGAACAGGTTGTAGATGAACATTTTCTTGGCTATTATTTGGTGCATAATCTGTCACTGGCCCAATTTCATGGGGTCATATGATGAAAGATGCATTTGTAGTTCAAACTATTAGAGCTTTAACTTTAATTCTCCTGAATATTTTACAGTTTATTTCCATATTGATACCATGTTAGTATAATACAGTAGTATTATGCTGCTATAGTAACTCATTTTCTCTTTGAGGATGTAATTTCCTGGAGGCACCTTATAGTACGATTTATAAAGGTGTCTAACATTCAGAACAAGTGAAACTTGATGGAAAGAAATCAGAAACTGGATTATGCTTAGTGTCTAAACAGTCGTCTGCTGCTTACATGTTTTTAAGTTCATCATTGTGTCCTACTTGCAACTTAAATGGAAAGCACCCGTTGAAAACAGAGGTGTGCAGTCTGTGAAAATGTTAACAGCGTTCTCAAGTGTTAGCTTAATCTAGTAAAGGAAAATGTGTGCGTGTGCACTTAAGTTATCCTATGGCAGGTAATGTGATGATTTGCTGGTTTTTGGTACCAGGAGTCACACCAGGGCCTTGCACTTGCCAGGCAGATGCTCTACCGCTGAGCTGCATCCCCAGCCCTGGTTATTTGCTTTTTATTAAAAATATTAAACTCAGAAATGTGGGCAGAGGATAGGGAATAGTCTGGTATAAAGATGAATTAAGTTTTTATTTTTATGGAAAATTAAGTTTTATTGTGTTTAAGTGTAATGAATAAATAGAGTAAGTTGATCAAGCAGCCAGGAGAGAAGGAACTTGACAGAGTAATTTGTAGTTAGTACATAATTATTTCAGTGTATGGTAGTTAAAATCATACAATAATTACAATAAATTATTTTTCTCTATAACCTGTTGTGAAAGTTTACCAGACATTAGTGATTTTTTTTGGTATGATTTAGGATACTAAGTGTCATATTTAGTAGCAGTGTAGATTACAGCACTTTGGATTTAGATGCACTTTATTTACAAATTCTGTTTCATGTAGCAGAACAGTGATATTGGAGAACTTACTCTACATCTTTAAATCTTAATTTTTCTTGTCCAGAAATGAGAGTAATAGTTTCTGTTTAATAAATTTGGCTTAAAAATTAAGTGAGAAGGGGGCCAGGGAGATGGCTTGGTGGACTAAGTGCTTCCCTGGCAAGTGCAAGGACCTGAGTTCAATCCCCAGTTCCGCAGGAAAAAAAAAAAAAAAAAAATTACCAAAAATTAAGTGAGATATTTCATGACAGGCACTGACCATGTGGATGTATGTCTGTAAGTGTTCATTAACATTTATTATTATTAATCACAATAGCCTTTTAAAAGTACTGATTATGTTTTGTTTCAATTTGAATGATCATAAATTACAAATTAGTAGAGCTAAAATAAATTTTTCCTGAAACTAACTCGGAAGAAATCCTAGGGACTTTCCTCATCACTATCTCATTCCTTTTTTTTTGCCAAACTGATAATTTTCATACTACATTTTGAGTAGTTTTTTATTGCGAGTTGTGCCTATTAAGTTAGCCATTGTTGATTTGCTCAACAGTTGAGCCAGAGGGGGTTTAAGAAGTTATTAGAATCTGCCAACCCAGGTCTTAATTTTATTCTTTTTCTCTGCCATATTCTATTCTTAAAATTTGACTACCTTTTCTTTGTCCTCTCTGGCTATTGAAAATTTGGACTTTTACTTGGTGAGATAAACAAATTCCTTGTCAGGAAATTTATTTCCTTTTTCCTTCTTTTTTTCCTTTCCTTCTTTTCTTTGCTTTCTTTTTTCTCTTTCTTTCTTTCTTTCTTTCTTTCTTTCTTT